AACATATCTCTCTTTCTGTCATCAATCCAGAAATGAAATATTAAAGAATATATGTTAGGAGTATAGGTCAAACTTAACCCCTCTTCAAAAGCGCTTACCTCAAAGAAGGGCTCTATCGCAAGATATACACTTGGCTCTTGGAATGCATCTTTAAATCGTGGTCCTGGCACTCAGTAGAAAAAATAAAATTGAATTAAAGAAAGAAAAAAAAGAAAATCTCAAGGCGAACAAAGAAACCAGATAATCATGATTCATAAACAAAAGAACAAGATCTTCGCAAACATACCGAGAACAACAGGCCCATCTTTCACCCAGGGAAAATTGAAAACATTTTCCTTCAAGTTCCCTTCCTGCAACGACGGCACTCGCCCTAGAAATGGGGGGTGGGGGTAAAGAAAGCACAATTACAATATATATATCTGGAAAATACACTCAGGAAAACTATTATGCATGATGCCATGAGGGGAATTCTTTGGTAGAACATCGATGCTAACCTGTTTTAAGAAAGGCATCTACTGCCACACTGAATCTCGCTCGGTTCAAGGTGTGCAGTACTACAGATTTAACCTGGAAACAAATTACTTCTATTAAACAAATGATACATGGAAGCATGTAAAACTAAATCAATTTCACTACTGTACACGAACCTCTTGGTAGGAGCTGACAACGTATCCACATGAAAGGAGCGCAAATGTAGTTATCAGTGATGGATTTCTTTTCGAGATTAATATGCTCAGGCCAGTTCCCAGCTTCACAAGGCATAGGTTCACAATCATCAATAAAAAATGATTAAATTTCATGCATGAAAGTGCACATTGGAACATAGAGACTAATTAAAAAATAAAAATCTGTAGAACTGTTATTCTTTTACATGAAACGGGAGCTTATAGGCAAAGAAAACTAGAACTGTTAAAGAAGTGAAAAAGAAGCACAAAAACCAATGATAGGACATCCACTTGGGAAAAACCAACTAAAAACCACAAGACAACTAAAGGTATACATCAAGGCAGTGTTAATAATACGAGACAACAAGTTAAAAAATTCTGTCAATCCCTACCATTTAGATTCCTCCTACAGGTTAGATCCTTAGACACCTAGAAGGTGAGAATGAAACCATACTTATCCCTCAGATGGAACACCACAAATAACGTTGTTTCTGTGAAACATAGATATTGCAAACAACATTGTATCCCACAAATCCTATGTGCCTGATATATAGGAATGTTTACATACAAGGAGACAAATTGCAAACCTATTTTTTTACTAATTTCAGTATGGCTAGGATACATAGCACCACAGAGCATGTTTTCTGTGAAAAGTTATCTATCTTGCCTCAATTTAGGTCAAAATAAGATAAGACCTAAGAGTCTGACTCAGGCTCTGACTTGTTAGTCCCATTTATTATCGAAAGGATTTATTTAGAACTTACTTCAAAGAAGGATATAGTTCTATTTCTTTGATATCCTAGACAAGAATAAAATATAGTATAACTGTAGAAACAACATTTTATTGATAGATACTGGTGATAAGAGTTGATAATATGCTCTAGTCATTTAAGCAAAAAAATAATAGGCATATATTTTCGTAGCACTGGTGACACATAGTAATAGTGTTCAAATAAACTTAGCAAAATTTATTTCACTGTTTTCCTGTACACATTGGATCCTGTGTGCATAGGTCTAACTAGCAAACTCAAAAACCTTTACACGAAACGAAGAAAATGAGCACGCACCAAGTTTTACACAATATTACAATACATTTCAACAATTGATTTTTATCTTGGTCGACCTTAGATCAATAGGGGTGATCATGCACACAAAAAGACATACCAAAGCTAAACAATCTCAAAAGCCAACAAGTTAATGGAACATGGGGGCATAACTGGGCAAAAATACCAATGATTGTAGGTGTACTGGACATAAGTGGACTAAAACAATTTCATTTCATGACAGCATAACTGCAATGGTAAAAACAAAGGGTTTCTAGAATGTGTTCAATATAATATTAAGGCTTTTTAGTCAAAATGTTCCCTGAGATTTGCATTACTCATCACTTTGGTCCCTGAGATTTGAAATCAATAGAAGTGGTTCCTGAGTTTGTCCACTATCAACCATTTTGGTCCTTCCATGAAAAATTATATTAAATAAAGACCAAAAATGACCAAAATACCCTCAATGTAACAAACAATGGGGCAAATGATTTGACAAAAATTGAGGGTGTTTTTGTCATTTCAGCCCTATTTAGTGGAGATTTTTCATGGAAGGACCAAAATGATTGATGGTGGACAAACTCAGGGACCACTTCTATTGATTTCAAATCTCCGGGACCAAAGTGAGGAGTTATGCAAATCTCAGGGACCATTTTGGCTAAAAAGCCTAATATTAATGCAAGTGTAAAATGTATGAACAATTCTAGGAAAGTGAACAACACGTATCAAGCTGTTTCAATTTTGGATGGTTAATATCTACATGTGTACCGCGTCAACTACTAGACCAATGTGCTCATATGGTTCACTGGTACAATGTCCAGATTCCTGTAACACATAATTATCCTGCAAAAAGAAGTAGGGCAAGCATACCAGATCCGCAATATTGCCAACACATTCTCCTTTAGCTGTCACATCTCCAATGTTTTCTCCTTTTGCAAACGCTTTGTAAATTGGTGTTCGAGTTGATGTTGATGTTACAGCAGCAACATTCTACAAAAAACAAAAGAGGATGAAAGGTTGTAAAACTGAGATGGAATACATTAAGTTATATGAAAATGTCAAACCTTTGCCACATTAGCTGCACAAGCCAAAGGAAGAAACATGTGCGGGACAGCTGCAGTTGCCAACTCTACTCCTGCACCCAACTCCATGAGAAGATCACCAGCAAACCGCAACTAAAACACCACAGCATTAAGAAAAGGTGAGTGAGGTATTGTGAGTTATGTAGTTGGAAAATATTGTGCAGTACTATGAAGTTGGCAAATATTTCTTACCTGTTTTAGATCATAATCAAATTTCTTTCCTTGTCGGGCAAAAAGCATTTTTCCAACACGCCCAGCACCATCCTAGACAGAAATTTATTAATTAGATTAAATTCATTCTGCTATACCATATGGACATTAGAAGAAAAAGCTGTAGTACAAGGCACTAATGTAAACTCCGATATATACACTTCCAAGTTTTGGACCTTTGGTATCATTAACTAAACTCAAAAGTATAGTTCAAAGTCAACATGCCTCAAAAACATAAAGTCACAAATACAAATTTGTATGCTTGACTCTACAAAAACATATTTCAACATTACTTCAACAATGAAAAGAGGCACAACCCAAAAGAAACACTGGCTACCAGACTGTTTAGCATGCAACACTTATCCAAGCGGATTCAGATTCTAATCATGACTGCAGTCACAAGAGTAAGAGTAAGTAGGTTTTCGCACTCATTTGTGGTGCTGGATTCAATTGAATATCTAAGTCACTAACTAACATAACTCCGACAGTCCTTCACCTGATGGCAACAGGTTGTAAATGGGACAAGAATATGAAGATCTCCTAAAAAGGACTGATATAATTGAACTCCTCCCTGGTGTGGTCTGATGTGGCAAAATTGTGTAACATAAAACTTAGTAGCCATTGTCAACTTTACATGTCACACAAATGTGAGTGCAGAAAGAAGGCATATTCTCAAAAGCATCCTTTTGCAACCAAAAGAAATGAAAACCAGAGGAATGTTACAATTTTTTCTTAAAAGTCAAATGATTTAAAATACAAAAGTTGCGATGCGATCAAGAAATATTACCTTGAGAATCCAGTTGATAGCAACAGCCCCAGGAGCAGCTGTGTTTCTAGAGACTCCAACTGAATTCAAAAGGGTTTGTGTTGTAAAAACTCCCATTGCGCCACCAAAGAAGTGCTACAAAAAACAAAAAAAATGTTATTTTTAATATGGCAATCAATTCCACCAAAGTGATTGAACCATGCGTTTAAAGAAGTTGCAGCAGCTTTTACGGCAGGGATGATAAACAGATGATAGAAAATAAGTTTGTATAATAGTATATGTACCTTGAGAGCTCTCCATGTCATGTAGGGGACATAGGAAGGGATTACACTATCAGGGAAACCTTCGGGGACAACATATGACCTTACGAAAGACATCAACCCCTGCACCAAAAAATCCGACACACGAAACTCAGAAGAATCTTCATCGATTAGAGAGAAAGTAATCAAATTTTGCAACGGCTATGAATGATGCATAAATTGCACACAATGTCAATGCTTATTACGCAACTCAGCAGAGAGGTTACACTTGTTGGATTCTTAAGTTGAGAAATTGTATTGAAACAAAGCTAGAAAAACAGAATAATACGTGGTTAAAGTAGAGTACTGACGTCGAGAGGGGGTTGGGGGCTGTGCAAGCTAAGGGCGCGAAAAGAGCCCTTCTTGAAGGTGGTTGCAGCAGAGGAGGAGGAGGAGGAGGAGGAATCGGGCTCAGCGACGTAGTTCCATCGGCGGCCGTCAATCTCCTCGCAGCAAACCAATCTGAGGCTGGATCCCACGAAATCTTGATCGTGGTGGAGCAGCTGGGGAAGCTGATGCTTGGGGGCTTGGGTGTCCAAAGGCAGAGCCTGGGAGGGAGTGGAGGAAGCGAGGTTTGCACTGATACGCAGCGTTTCACGGACGAGAAGGCGCGCGTCCTGGGCGCTAGTGGCGGTGGTGGTGAGGGTTTGATTGGTGGAAGAAGCAGAAGATTGCTTGAGTTTCAGCGGCGGCGGAGGCATTTGGCATTCCTCTTGTTTCTCCAAGTTACTAATCTGGTGGTAATTGGTGCTAGTGTGATGAAATCAAAGTAGAATTGGGAATCTGGGACGGATGGATGGATGGATGGATGGATGGAGATGTGGAGGCCTGAAGGGTTATATAATTTTGGTTTTGGGGTGTCGCCTTGGAATTAACGACTGAGAAAATTCAAATCTTTCAAATCCCAATTGGCAATTGGGAAGTAACAAGAAGGGATGGATGAGATGAATGCGAGGAACAAGAGGCAGGTGGCTAACGACAACACCACCACTCGGACTGAGCAGCAGCAGCAACATCAACATCGACCACGAGTGGATTTTGAAATGCCATTTATTACACCGCAATGCACCGCAATGGAGCAACTGAAGAAACTTCGGAATCCTCCCCCACCCCTAAACCATGTACAAGTTGTAAACTAGGCGAGCGAGGCATCTATGGAGAGTGGAGAATTCTCATATATATCGTTCGTTCATTCCGCGCATCGCCACCATTGTTATATCCGATATCCGAGATGGCTTTTGGGTGGGACCTTCCACTCTGTGTCATGTGTTCTCATCTGACAAAACTAAACTATGCGGGACCTACCCAAATCTCACTTTATTTGCTACACTGCATTTACACGGTCATATATTTGCTCGCCACCTTTAAAGTAGTTTTACATTGACAGTGTTCATCATCTTATTTATTATTATTGAACTAGTTTAAATTTGAAATTTGAGTCTAGAGTTTAGTTTAAATTTCAAAGCAGATTTCCAAAAGATATATCAAATTTTAAATATAAAATTTAAATTTGACGGCCTATGTGACATTTTGATATTTTTTTAAGTTTTGCTTTCCATCCGAGATGTCAAATTAAAATATTATTTTATTATATTTTTTTTCTTCATAATTTCTGTTTTATAATTACAAATTTGGTTACATTATTTTCTTTTTGTTATTTTATTTTCATAATTTCTCAGATAGCATGTACACCATAATGGGCATCTGAATTGATACCCAAGACATAAAAAGCTGAGGCTACTGAGCTACAAAGTAATTTAAATCAGCTCGATAAGTTTCATACCTATATAACTTCAAGCTGTCTGTTTTTCTTCTCTTCTTTTAAATTGGATTCTAAATAAATTGAATCGATATAGTTTCGCATAGCCTCTTCCCTTTGATTCAAATGCATTACAAGATTCAATGGTCAAATATTCAGTACTCAAATACACACCAAATCCTAAAACCCATTTGTGAAAAAGCTCCATAGGCCTATCAAGAAGAGAATGAGGAATTATTGGATGGAGAGAACGCCAAGCTTCAAAAATTTGTGGCAGAGTTGGGTTTTCTCTGAACCAAGAAGCTGGGTTTTGCAATTTGCAGACTGATATTTTCAAAGTTGGTGAGGGTGTGGGAGGAAGATAAATGTTTTCAAACAATAATAAAATTAATAAAAAGCATTTAATAATTAATCAATAAAAATTTGAAGCTGCTGTCAATTTTGACAGCAAGGGTGAGAGCTGCCATTCCATGTTATGCCACATCAGATTTGGCTTTTCGGTTGGAAAACAATGTTGTTGCCTTTTTTTACTTTTAATGATGATTTGGATATGACTTCTCTTTTGAAGATACTCTGGTTTGGTATTGTTGTGCTTTGAAAAAAAACTACTTCTGTTGTGCTATGAGAATAAGCAGCTATGAAATAAAGCAGCAGAGTGTTTGGTAAATTTTTTTGTAAAAATGCTTTTGAAAAAAAAAACAGTATTATAGTATTAGGTAAACTATAAATTGGGATGGTTATCCGCTCATCTACTTCATCCAACATTTCCTCTCTACCAATTTCAGACGCTTCTATAAATTTAATCACACCGTTCACTCCCTGCTATGCCCTTCACTTCCTCACGCCACTCCCTCATCTCTTCCCCACTCTAATTCCAAAAACCCAAATCTCAAAATTCAAGAATTCAGATCCAAAGCAAGAAATGGGTTCCTGCTTACTTGAGCACCTCAAGGCTCAGCCTTTATGGGTTATTGTGCTCTTCACTCTCGACTTTTTCTCTCGCCTCAAACTATTTCTCTTTCCTCCAATGGGTCTACGTCAAGAATCTAAAAAAGTACGGATCTTAGGCACTCGTCACCGGACCCATCGATGGCATTGGTAAGGCCTTCGCCTTCCAATTAGCTCGGAAGGGGCTCAATCTGATCTTGGTAGGTCAGAATCTGGACAAACTCAAGGACGTCTCGGACGCTGTCTTAGCCAAGTACGGCAAAACCCAGATCAAGACCGTCGTGGTCAACTTCACCGGCAACCTCAACGACGGCGTCAGGCACATTCGGGAGACGATTGAAGGGTTGGATGTGGGACTTTTGATTAACAACGTTGGGATTTCATACCTGTATGCTCGGTTCTTTCATGAGGTGGATTCAGAACTGCTCAGAGGAACTTGATTAAAAGCTGGTTTTTCAAAGCTGGGTTTTGCAGCTTCTTGTTTTTTGCTTTTTTTTTTCCTCCAAAACTGTGAAAAAAAACTGAAGTTGAATGTTTACCCAACACAAAAAAAGCTCCCAACTTTTTTTGATACCCATTTTTTTCAGAATTACCTCAGTACCAAACTAGGGTTTAGTCCTTTTTTATAGTTGTGCATGTGCAACTGTGTAAATGATAAATTTGGGTAACTTGCAGAGAAAGCGCGGGGTGGATGAAGATGAGTGTTTACGAGAAGTCTTACATCTTCAATCAAGAGCCACAGCATGCGCGGGGGGGGGGGGGGGGGGGTGGGGCTTGCAGGTGTAGTACGTAGTCTAGTAGTAGTAGTTGAGCCATCATCTCCTTTGTATCTATAGATAAAGAAGAGAAGTTATTATGCTGTAAAAAAATCAAAAGCCATGAGTTTATATACATTTTTTTTTTGAGAAAAATATAATACATATTTACTGTTATATAAGCAAAAAATAATAATTATTATTATTAATTTATCAATAAATTGGTATCTCGCTAAAGTTTTTTTTTGGAGTAATTAGGTTTTCATCCTTATTTTTACTACTCTATTGATTAAAACCTTATTACTTTTCAATTTTTGATCAAGGTCCTTTGTATTAATAATATCATTAATTATTTCAATAATAAAATATTTTTTATTTCTAAATATATTCATTTAATATTAAAAATGTTACAATTAGTATATTTATATTTATGGCTAAATTTTTTATCATATATTTTTATTTTTAGTTTGTACCCATTTTTAATTTGCAACCCTTTTTTAATTTGTACCAATTTTCCTTTCAATTTTAATTTGTACCCATATATTAATTTCTTTTTGTGCCCATATTTTTGAAAGTTTTATTTGTATTGTACCCATATTTTTTTATTTATTTGTACCCATTTTTATTTTTTGCTAAATGTACCCATTTTGAAGAATGTACCCATGTTTTGATACAATAATTTTTTGGTTATTTTTTATGAATGTACCCATGTTTACACACACACACACAATAGTATATTTATATTTTAATATTTGTAATCCCACAAATTATGTTTTTTATTTAAAATCTCATTACTATAAACAACTATAAATTTTAATTTTTAATTTAAAAAATATAGTAACGTACATAGAAATAAATTATCAATTAATTTTAGGGACTTGGATCAAAAATTGAAAACCAACAAAGTTTCAGTCAAAGATTATTCATAACTAGGGACCGCATCCAAAGTCTCCCTTTTTTTTTTTTAACAAACAATATTATCTACATTAAAGGGAGAAGGGTGGACGTAGCCTGTCTAGCAATAATGTGGTTCAAATTCGCCTTTGGTGAGAATTGAACCTAAGATCTATCACTTACAGGTGAAGAGGAATATTACTAGACTATAGTACTAAGTGGCAGTCTGAAAGCTATTAAATTAAAGAAGTTATACTGTATGCATCTTGTATTTATGGCTTTCCACATTCAATACATAGACATATCACTAACACTATATATGGATGAAGAAATTTAAGATTACTAAGTAATTTTAAAATGACGGAAATTTAAATGATGGAATTTTATTCTATAGAATTTGTGAATTTTCTTGTTTGGGTAACCTAAAAGAACAACGAAATTGAATACGGAATTTGTTGTTTTTAAACTCTCAATCATAGAAATTGGAAAATGACACCTATTTACATGAAATTTAAACTTGGGAATTGGAGGTCCCAAATTCCAAGTTTTTTTTCCATGCGGAAATTCTAAATTTCTATATTTATGAATCCAAACAAGGGAATGGGTGCATGTCAATTTATAAATTCTGTCTTTAATCCAAATTCTAAGTTTATTTCCCTCATCCAAATATAGTGTAATTGTATCCCCTTTTTCTATTTTTTTTCCTAGAAAACTAGGTCAATCTATAAGCGATTAAACATCACTTAATACTATAGTCTAGTGATACTCTTCTTTGTTTGTAGACGAGAGATTTTAGATTAAAATCTCATAGATGATGGCTTCAAAATCAATTTATTCCCCTTACCATTAGTCTAAAATATATCGTTGTATAAAAAATAAACCACTAAAAAAAAATTTAAATGTATGGGCCTAGCCCAAATGAAAGTATTTGGACCCAACCAAGGCGAGTCCATTGATTGAGTCTCCTTATAAAGGGAACCGATCTAACGACTCTTGTTTAATTGTGTAACTTAAATACGAACATTTGATTTCCACTAAAAAAATCTATTTCGTCGAAAGGAGAAGTAACAATATTCTTTATTCATCCTTACAAATGGGGCTTTATTTTTTGTCAAACGATAGCGCTAGTGGGTTAAATTGTTAATTATTTGCACGCACTTATGATTGGTTCCATCCATCCCCAACCCTAATGAATCGAGTATGAAGGGGTCAGTCAGTCAAGTGGTTCAGGTTCTCGATCGATTCCTATTCGCCTTCCCCCTTGCCTCGCTGCCATGTAGTCCATTAGCAGGTAGGGTGGTAAACTTTGAGGGTGCTCACCTCCTCTTCAGACGTGTCCTCGACAACTTGACGACTCTTCGATATTCACTTTTGGGGGCAAGAGTGATTGGTTGCTGGGTAGGGGGATTAGTGGTGATCGAACCCGTACTAAAATGCATATACATGATTGCTTTCTGCCACTGGTAAAGCGTCATCCGCTTATAAATGAGGCCCTTTAACAACCCGGAAATTGTCAGTGGGCCTAAGTGACCTATTGACCCAACAAGAGATATTGGGCCATTAATATTGTTTGAGGGTCCCGACACCTTTTGTTTTCGTACGTTTTTTTGCATCGATTGCCTTTGGTCGGTCTGGTTTCGGTTTTTGGAGCCTCCCCTTTCCTTTATACTTCTTCCGATTCCTGCCTCTGTTTTCAGGTTCCCTTTCTTTTCCGATTCCTGCTTCTGTAAAAATCTCTCAGAACCAACCAACAGATATTATCTCTGAAAATTTGAAAACTTAAATAATAAAAAAATGGAAGGAGAAGGAGGAGAAGAGCTCAGCATACAGGAGCTGACCTCCAGTCTCTCGACGTACAAAGATCAGCTTCACCAGGTCCCCCACTCCACTCTTTTGTTCTTCTTCTAATTTGTTTCATCTGTTTTTATTCTTATTACGATGGTTAATTTTCATCGTTGCAGTCGATACATGCTGTGACTGTGATTAGGGTTTATTTGAATTACTATTCAATTAGGGTTTTTCTCTTACCATTATACCAATTATGATACAATTAACCTGTTTAGGTTTATTCACTCCCCTTTCTATTGAAAACAAAACACTTTCCTCCAGAATTTTGATTGATCTTGTCTTGGTAGCAAACCAAACTAGAGAAAGGGATAAATTTTGAAATTCTGGTATTTAATGCGTGCAGTTAGTGATTTCACTTTAGGAATTGAGTCTACATAATCTACTCTCTGTCTGCATCCGTGGTTATTTAATACCATAGAAATTGAAATCATTGTACTATTCTATATGTAATGTATGTGTATTCGAACTTTTTCTCTATTTAAAAGCCATGTCCAAATGTATACTGTGAATGATTTTCAGCTTGTTTTGTTGATTTTAAATTGTGGTAAAACATTTATTATTCATACAACAAGGTTGAAGTTTCTTCCTTTGCCATTGAACCTCGTGTATAATGTTTATGTACAGCAAGTTTATCTCGTTGTATTCTCTTGTAGATATGTTTTTTGTAACGATTTCTGCGATCCTCTGGATCAGGTGAAGGAGCTTTTAGCTGATGATCCTGCAAACTCTGAGTATGCTGACATGGAAAGAGAGCTCAATGAGGTATCTGTTTTGTCTGTTTCTCTTTGTATTATATTTTTGTATAGATATTTTTGTAAGGCTAGCCGACATTCACCTCTCCCAGACCCTGCGTAAAGCGGGAGCCTTGTGCACTGGGTACGACCTTTATTCGTGATTTCGATTCATTCCTACTGGAACTCTCCCTTTTTTTTTCTTTTTTTTTTTTGAGTTTGCAGTGTATAGGTCTCTATCTTAATGTTACTGTGTGAAAACTGAAGCAACATCTTCTCTGGCCCTTGGGATGACGGCCAAGTGTAGTTACTATTATAGGGATATCTAGGTTTTCAGTGCATTATCATTCTTCTTTTATTTCTTCCTTCTCTCTTTTGAAGGAATCATCATGTTGCTCAAACTAGCAACGCCAATTAACTGCTATGGCACCTGTGGAGGTTTATTTTCATTACAGGGTTGAATAAGGTGAGGATGGTTTGTGTGTTGAATAAAGAAATTGGAACTCTGGAGAATTTAGAATTTAGAAAAACATTAGATCCTTAGAGCTTCATCAAGTAGCATGTTACGTCTATCTTGGTTCCTTTGCAGGTGTGCTTTGTATGGTGATGGTCAGCTTTCACTCTCTTTCACCTGATATCCGATGTTCATGCTGAGATTCTAAGTTTGAAATTGACAATAATTTTCTCTTTATGATGTAGCGTCTATTTGTATGTATGTTGTTTAAATTTAGGTTTGGGCTAAATTTATGATAATGCAGGTAATTGCTCTTACAGAAGAACTACTTGCAACTGCAAAGCAAAATCAGAATTCTGGATTAGGTTTCGGGACAAGTGATAGTGCATCACCTAGTTTGCCCCAGACTCAAAGGAATGAAAATGTAAGTTGACATCCTCAAGAATTTCTTTACTTTCTTTTTCTTTTTGTGTTTCTTTGTTGTTCTTGTGAGCGAATATATGCTTTGACAAGGTTACTCCTATAATGTGTTCTGTGGTATGTGGCTATGGAGAAATATGCTTTTCTTTTGGCTTAGGAATGATTTACATGAACAGAGTGTTGTTTCTCAAAAGGTGCTGTACTGGGGTTCTATATAAACACTTCCTGCTGTTTACTCAGTATAAATTTCAACTTCAGAATAATTTCAAACCATACTTGGTATACCAATGTGGAATTTTGTTCCCACATTCACTGACCTTTAGTAATGCATGTTATGAAGCTAATACCACTGTAATGTTTTTTGTGGGCTTTATCTACAGTGCATTTTTGTGCTCTTTTCCTTTATATTAAACCCATTTCAAATGAACTTTTCTTTTGACCCAAACAAAGCTGATATTACTGTTATGACTGTTTTCTTATGTTGGATTTTTCCCGTTTGGATCTTTCTCGTGTCCTGATGTGGTTACATTGTAATCATTCCTCATGTAGGATTCAGGGAATATTTCCGTTTATAATGACAAGTTTCCTGTTGGCACAAAAGTTCAAGCTGTTTGGAGTGAAGATGGGAGTGGTATGTGAAATAGAGATGAATTTCAGTAGATTTGTGTTTCAATTTTCTACATTTGCTTTACCTTTCTTTTCTTTTTGTCTGTGGTTGATTAGTTGAATGTCCAGGTATGATGCCACGATTGAGTCTCTTACTCCAAATGGGTACTTTGTTACTTATGAGAGCTGGGGGAATAAAGAAGAGGTATGATTTCTCAGACACATTTGAATTGATATGCTTTTACTTCAGTAAGACATTCTTCTTTGAATTTTTAGGTAGTTGTCTCTAAAATCTGGTTTATGATATTTATTTTCTTTTATTGAAACATATTTTATTCCAGTAGAATTAAGTTTTATCTGGTCATAGAATTGACATTTTGAATAACAATGAGTGATGCTTTACTTGCTTCTTGAAAGTTATGTCGCCTATTATTCAATTTTGAAATGAAAACATATTTTTCCAAATTTGGCGATGAAGTTAACTTAATATTTGAAGTTGTGGATCCCTTTTTTGTCTTTTTCCCGTAACTGATTCCATTTGTTATTGCATGTCCTTACCTTTATTTTGCTCATAAATTATTCTTGTTTTAAAATGCAACTGTGGTCTGCCATTGTTACATTTTTTACTTCAGGTAGATCCAGACAATGTCAGACCAATTCAAGAAGGGGCTGTCAATGCATTGCTGGAAGCTGAAAGGGTTGCTGAGGCCACAAAACAAGCGCTCAAAAGGAAGATTGCGCAAGCTGCTTCTGTTGATTTCCAATCACGAAGCTTACCAGCAAAACTTCGTATAGAACCTGATGATCCAGAGGATGTGGTACTTTATCTATCTATATCTATTTTGTTGGTATCTTACTGTACAAAAGTGTGGATGTGGTAAAATATTCATAGGACAAAAATGTTAAATCTTAAATGACTCAATTTTATTACACTTGGCCTTCCACAGTGTGCCAGAATTTTTGAGTTTGATTCCAGTTTATAGGAATCAAACTCCTTCTGCTGAAAAACTTGAGTCCTATAGGAGGAGTCATTCCAATTATTGAGTTCAATATTATGGATCCCACAATTAATAGATAGAAATCACATCTATTAAATCCACAGCTGTAGGGATGGTGTTACAGGAATCAAACTCAAGGTGTCTGATTTCTATATTCAGGAATCTAACTCACCTGAATCACTGTAGAAGGGTGTATCCTACTGAAGTTTTGTAGTTTTCATATGGTTTAAAGTAGGTAAAAACACTATAGCAGGAACCAACCACAGAAGATAAAAATGATATTTTGTACAATGTTATAATTAAATTGTACTTACGCTAATCTACACAAAAGCTGTTAATTATGAAAATTGAAGTTTCTGTTAAAAGGTTTTTTTTTGAAACATGCAACCAGTCATTTTAGTAGAATAATAAGATGTCAAATTTTGTTATTGACTCGACATGATATAAATTTGATTCACTTTGATAATTTAGAAATTTGGTAATTTTTCAGTGCATTAAGTGATTTAAACCCTTTTTTTTTCTTTGGTCTCAAGGATAAGAGATCCGACTTGTAGTACTAGTTTGGTAGCAATCAAAATTATTTTTTGGTCATCTATTATTTTCTTAAACCCTATAAGTTGTGGTATAATGTTTTAAAATGTGTTGTTACAACTTGTTTTTTGGGGACTAATTCTTGCCAACTTCAAAATCTACAGAAAATCACCAAACGTAAAAAGATACATGCTTTTAAGTCAAAGATGAGGATGGAACAACTGGAAGTTACACAGAATAAACGTCAAAATGCTTGGCAACAGTTCCAAACAACCAAAGGCAAGACTAAGAAGGTATGTTAGCTTGACATTTTGAATTTCAATGTGTTTGCACTATTTCTTTGGTTGGTGTTTTTCGAGGAACAAGAATATCGATTGCTTTAATTTGTCTGAGCACCTCTGGAGTGTTTCCAAAATTTTAACTTTTAGAGGTCGCATTTGGTGCGATAGCAAGTGCCTTCGCCCATGAGCGGTAGGTCTCGGGTTCGAGACTTGGGAGCAGCCTCTCCATAAATGGGGGTAAGGCTAGCCGACATTCACCTCTCCCAGACCCTGCGTAAAGCGGGAGCCTTGTGCACTGGGTACGATCTCTGGAGTGTTTCCAAAATTTTACATTGGTAGTATTTTCTTCTTTGTCTTAATCAAAATAGTGTTTTCCAAGGCGGTGAGTTGCCTTAAGTGTACCTCATCACAAAAGGTGGACGCATTACAGATTAGACAAACTGTTGCCACTGTCTTGTTTTAAACTTTTCTTCTTTTTTACGAAAGGCTTCATTATACAGAGTCACTTATCCAGAAGGTGTAACTTGTTACATTGTCAGATTGGTTTCTTTTCTGGACGCAAGCGTGAGAGCATCTTCAAGTCTCCTGAGGATCCTTTTGGGAAGGTTGGGGTGACTGGAAGTGGGAAGGGCTTGACAGAGTTTCAGAGGAGGGAAAAACACTTGCATCTCAAAGGGGGAACAGGTGAGAATGGTGAAGAGGCTCCTTAGCTCCCTACTGTCTCCCTGCACTTGCTTAGCGACGAAAAAGAAAAAAAAAGGTCGTACCCAGTGCACAAGGCTCCCGCTTTACGCAGGGTCTGGGAGAGGTGAATGTTGGCTAGCCTTACCCCCATTTAGCCTTACCCCCATTTCGACGAAAAAGAAAAAAGAAAAAAGAAAAAAGAAACTACCTGATCTCTCAACTTGGTCAAAAGGTTTAGTCGTAACTGGTTAATCAAAACCTGTGGTATGCCATTGCCATATGTATTGTTCTTACCCTCGTGGTTATTATTGCCATAACAGTTGTCTTCCCACCGCTTGAGTTTGAGTTGTATTGTGTTAGGCGTTTATGTCGTGAAATGAAGCAATGGTTTGATTCCCACCTCATGACTTGTGCCAATAGGGTTGTATATACTTCTGTAGGTTTCTGCTCCCCCCAATCTTGTTTTGCTCCTTACAAAAAACTCACGCGACTTGGAACAGATTTTACATTCACTTTCCGCGCACTCTGAATAGACCTAATAAGATACTTAAAACTCTATTTGAGAAGGCTACCTCCATGTCAAACCACCGTTGTCCAAGAACAAGCCACTCAACAACGTCACCCCAGGATGTATGTCCAGCATTCTCATCATCCTTCCTCCTTAAACTTTGTTTGTATTGCTTCAAAGTTCTCCTTCCACCTTATGTCGGTAACATGAACAAAGTTGCTAATGAATCAATGTAGTTAGTGGTGGGTGTAGGTAAGCCTATCTGCTTATGGAGTTGCCTTCCTTCCGGACATATGTTGAAATGAATAGCTGCCTTTTGGTTTTGGGGATGGAAGTGGGAGTGGGAGTAGGAGTGGGGGTGGACCTCCTTAGACAGACTTTCTGATCTTTTGGCCAACATATTTATGTTTGACACCGACATCAAAACATGTTTGAGACATGTCTGTTTGATTGTACAAAACTATTATTCTTATTCTTATTATTATTGTTACATAGATTGGATGGTTGACTAGCAACATAAAAATGGGAACAAACTTCACTGCTTGTAGAAAAGTATTACATCTCTGTCTCTCACCATTCTAACTTTTTCTTTTTTGACCATTTTTTTATAGGATAATGAGTTGATTCTCATCTTGTGAATAACAAATTTTGACCGTACAAATATTATAATCGGAACTGTTCAATTTCTTAATATTTGAAGATGATTCTTACAAGAAATCATTTCAATTAGAGATCATTTAATCATTCAAATGTACAGAATAAATTTACGGTGTGGTGTGGATAACATTTTCATAATGAACCGTCCATTCAGTTAATGCATTTAGATAATTAAACAATCTTGAATTTGAATGATTTTTTGTAGAAGTAATTTTCAAATGAAGACTAATAAAATTAACGGTTCCGATCGTTAGTCAAGATACGGTAATCACACATAGATGATGCAATAAGGTTTTATATATTATTGATCATCATGTTCCATATGCATGCATCACCCCAAGGCTCATGGTTAGATTTCCTCTACAATCTACAGGAGGAGAGGTGGAGCAAATCATCACTCCACTAGGTAAATAGCAATAGGTAGCCGAGCACTCCTATTTGCCTTTATGACATTCAGAGAATCAAGGGATAAGGGATATCCTTCTTTCCTTTTGTTAATTACACAACATCTTTCTTCTTAATTTGGAATGAGTATCTTTGCCGGATCCTCTTTGTGAGGGTCCAGAAGATCTTTTAATCGTGTCCGTTTATCTTATATCGTGCAGTCAAAATTTATTTTAAATTTTTATTTAAATTAAACACAAATAGTATCTGATGAAAATTGATCACACGATTTATGATAAACAAACACGATTAAAGGATCTCTTGGATCCTCAGAAAAAGAATCCGGAGAGGATCTTCAGAAAGAAAATCCGGAGAGGATCCTCATTCATTGATTTGACACCGACTCAAAACGCATGGTTCTCCATCTTAATTATATATATATACATATCATGTTTGGTCTCTTTCCAAAGAAAAAGTTCAAAGTGCTCTCCAATGTATTCAAGGACAATGTGTTTGCCTACATATGCATTCTTTGTGAATCTGCTTTGGCCACCGACGCCGATTTATTTGGCTCTTAAAAATCACTTCATGTGGTACGCGAATTACATGAAGAGGAAATTAGTTTGTTATTAACATGTGGTGGACTACTTTCTATAATAAATAAATAAAATAGTCTAAGCTATACTTTAATAAAAAGAGAATTTTAACGAAAAGATTCAAGTACTGTTCACTTTAACGAAAAACCACATTTTTACACTAAAAAATCAACCCTTTATTTTTTTCCTTATTGTTAAAACTTAAAGTTTTCAAATCATTTTCATTAGTTTTCCTTAATAAAAAAAGGTATCGATACATGTAGTCCAATATCCTAGTGGATAGGGTGTTGGTTTCTATCCATGTGTCCCACATTCGAAACTTCCCCTTCCCCTAAATGAATGTAATAGTTTCGAACCTTCCCCCTCCCTTTAATATTAGATTTTTTTAAAAAAAAAAAGGGTATTGATACCACTTAATTTGAACGTTGGTAGTGTAATACAACCCCGTACAATAGGAGAATGACACATAGACAATATGTTTGATATGACAGTTTTACTCGTAACGTCGCGAGCAGACAAGTTTGCCCTAAGGTAAATAGGCTTTTATGTCACTAATAGACAATGTTTCTCTTGACCACTCATAATATGTCCTGCCATCGGGCCATACCCTGCCCAATGGTGGCTGGGCACCAACTCTACATAGTTTCCTTGGGTCTCTAGAGCATTTGTGCTCTTACCAACATGGATCTTCAAAACTGCTAGCTGGCAAGACTTCGAAGAAACCGTAATAGGGGTTTTCCCTCCCAACTGCTAGCTAGTATGCTATGCAGCCTCCCCTCCCAACTGCCTACTAGGGTTTTTCCCTATAAATAGTCAAGTCAAACAGAAGAAACAGTAATCGTCACTTACTACTCATAACTCTATCAAGTTCTCTTTTCTCTCTACTACTTATTTGACTTAGACATCGGAGGCCCTTTGGCGAAAACTCTCTTCTTTTTTCAGGATGTTCATCAATTAGGCTACTCTTGTAGGTGGAATTTCGTTAAATCAACCATGTACGAAATTTGCATCCACATTACTGATTCCCTTTTTTATTATTATTAAAGGATACGTATAGAATTTCCCAAAAATAGATAAGTGCAAATTAAACACGGCCTCACCTTAGAGCATCTGCAATGGGAGATGCAAAATGCCTTGGAATAAGCATTTTCATTTTTTTAGTTGGCCATAAATGGATGGAATCTAAAATACTCATATTGGTTGGAAAATATAAATTTACAATATAAAACATAATCTAGATTACATCTCTCAAATGAACGTGACCTATCAATCAAAGAGAGGAAAATGTGATCCAAATTACATCTCTCACACTAGAGTAGATTTAACTTTTACATCTTATGAAAATATAAAACGTAATCTAAATATAATTTTTACATCTCAAGTTTTGCATCTCTCCATTATATATGCTCATATTGATATAGAGTAATTTGGATTCTCTTATACGGCATGCGACTAATTTCTATACATAATACGAACATATATATGTGTATATGCGATAGATCGATCAGAGCCCTATATATTAATCACCTTCATTAATTCAGAGCTATTTTCTTAGAAATAATACCCTAAATATTCTTAAATAAGTTATGGTATATTATCATCCAGTCTATGATGTTTATAATCCTCCATGCAAGTAGTCTCATGAGCATGCAGCTGGGGTAGTGCACTTGGTGCTGATGAAGATGACGGGGTGCGAGAGTACCAATGAGACCAAAATAGATAGTTGAGGAAGTTGAGGAAGCTGAGGCCTGCCAGCAACCAATAGAAAAGGTCCAGTCTGTCTCTGTTGAGATTATTGTCACCCAGCCAACCACCACCACCTGATGAGGTTGTGATCTTATTCACCAGAGAGACAAGTAGAGAGCTCAGGTAAAACCCAAACGAATATGAGCAATAGGTCAAGGCAGTTAAAAATGCTTGCATCCCTTTCAAGGATTGTTTGTAAAAGAACTCAACGAGGCCTACGGCAGTGAACATTTCTGATAATCCAAAGATCAAGAATTGTGGGGTGATCCAAAAAATGGATATTATTTTGTTCGAATGCACAGCTGCATCCCTTCTCTTTTCCTCCATGATGGCAGCCGCGATCATCGAAAATGTTGCAAAAAAGAGTCCAAACCCTATTCTCATTAACGGAGAGATGCCAGAATTGTGACCGGTGAATTTTCGAGCAAAGGGAACAAAGAAAGTGTCGTAGAGAGGGACGAGGGCGATGAGAATGATGTAGGGGATGGATTGGAGTGAAGCTGGAGGGATATGGAAGGATTTGGTGAGCTTGGTGTCCATCATACTTCCTTGTTGGACTGAGAAAGTTTGGAGCTGAGCCAAAATTGTGTTGAAAATTATGGTGGAAGCAAAAATTGGAATAACTGAAAGCAGTATTTTGACTTGCTTCACTTGAGTAACGGTGCACAATCTCCACGGGCTTTCCTTTGAATTAGTGCCACCTTGAATTTTAATGCAAGCCTTGTCCAAGAACCTGATCATCATTAATTAATTTGGCAGATTAATTAAGCATACAAGATTGCAAGAGAAAAGACAATATATATATATATATATATATATATATATATATATATATATATATATATATATATATATATATATATATATATATTTACAAGCATCGCTCAAGTAAGTACTAGTTGCTTTTCTTAATACTTCATACATGGATAACCATATTTTGGTCTTAGTATTTTTGTTTATCTTAATAGAGGACATGCACGATGCATGGGAAACAAGATGTAGTTATTCTAGATATAAAATACTGAAATAAAGATTTATTTTTTTCCCTTTTGCTTTGTAAATTTACCTGAACTTTTCAGTGTGAAGAAAGCCGGCAGCGTCAGAAAAGAAAGTAGTATTGTCATGCAGCACATTGTTTTGGTTTCCATGGAGCAACTGTGGATTAGATGGACAAACCTGCTTTCTCTTTAGCATTGCAGCCACAAAAACCTAAAAAGGAAAATGATAGTTATTTACATGTTGTGCAGACTCCCATATATAGTATTCGAATTCGACAACCCACATGCATGTTAATCTTTTCAAACATCATAAGCCAACAAATTTGCATACCTACACATGCACATCAAACAGTACATTTATAACCGATTGTATGAACTACTATTCCTGATTGACCCATGAGATATATATTAGATTCCATATAAAATTCCTAATTAATTAAGAGGATTAAATTGGAAAAAGTTCAATATTATACTTGAGCAATGGGAGTGAGTATGCTTCCTTGAGGTCGCTTGTT